ACCACAACAGGATATGCCTTCTATAATCCATGTTACATGAATAATGTATAGTTCAGGATATAAATAATATACACTTTGAAAAACTAATTACCCATATTGTTTATTCTGCGACCTTAATGGGGTTTATTATTTACTGCTAATTGTTAACAGTTTATTGATTTCTTTGATATTCCCTAATAAAATTTAACAATTCTACTTTGTACAAAAAATCCATTTACATTAAGCCCTATTAAGTGTGCAGTACCTTGTATGAATCTACCCAATAAAATTTATGATGAAATTGTTCATATTTTCACTTTTTGTGTGAGATGTGATTTCTGCACAGTTATGTATAAATCTCTTCATGGAAAAGTTCACTAAGGTCAAGATCACTTCCAAATGAGGCCTGGTTCAATTTCCATTTAGACTAACATATAACAAAATGTAAAAGGTGCTGCTATTGATTCTCTCCCCATGGACAGATTTATTTACTTGGGCACCCTGCTTTATATTCAAAATATCTGTATCCGTAATTGTTCTTTATATTATATTTAATTAAATGGATTATCAAGGCCTATAATAAGCTGTGGGAAGAATATGTGCTAAACATGTGAAATGTGGTCTGACGGGGAATGTTTACTCTTTCTAAAACACTTGATCACATCTCATTTGAGAAAATCTCCAAGCTAAATAAAAATGTACATTTTCTACTGGAAATTCTGACTTTCAATACCTTTATAATCTTAATAATAGTTGCGTATTATTCTTATTAACAATTGAAGATATTACATTTATTTACCAGGTATATAAAATTAATCAATTTTTATGTATCCCATAAAAGTATTTGGTACATTTATTAGGGTTTCACACTGCGTAGCTTGTGTGAAACACTATTGTTTTTGTTAAAATTATTCTTATTATTATTTTTTTTTTTCCAATTTGATTGTATCTCAGAAACTACTTGTCGGATTGATTCGATGTTTTCGGTTTTAATGGAAAAGTGGGTGTGACTTAGAGATTAAAGCTATTTCGAACGTTCTGCGACAATGTGAAATGTCCGAAATCGTCGAATTTGTCGATTTTTGAAATATTGCCGTAATATTAACAATAATTGTCGGATTTTAACACTTGAGACATTTTGACATAGCCCGAGACACGGCAAATAGCTACGGTTGTTTAGATTTTTGATTTTCGATTAATCTTCGAAGATATTAGGCGCCAAATTTTGAAAATTTAAATTTTGACAAAAAACTTTTTTATTCATGAATATTTTAATGTGGTATTTTACCCAGGGTTAAAGAGTCATCTGATTTGACCAAAAATGGCACCATTTTTTGTCATCGTAAATTTCCTTGACCCCCATTGGCTAATTCAGTTTTTCAGTCCTGGATTAATTATTTATTGCTCGATTTGTATAAAACAAAGTTCATATGCTCCGTAATCCAAAATGTCATTTTTTTTGTTACCGGTAAAGTTACCTTTCGGCAACGGAAGTGACGTAAATTTAGCAAAAAATTTTGACAGTTCGGTACCACTTTTTGAAAGCAAATATTATTTTTTCCAAATCTGGTATGACTGAAAGTGTGTGCCCTGTAAAGGCGCAGAAAACATCGGGCTCAGTTTTTTTAATTTCGATTTCGTTTTCGGGTCATTTTGATTTAAAGGTGAAAAAAGGTGAAAAAATGAGCTATTTACAACCCATTCAGGCTTTTCATATTTTAAAATATTTCTTCGCAACTTTCATAAACTTGTAGCATTAATCCATACGAAGAGAATCTATCTCAAAATTAGTTTGTAATATGAGCAGCTGCCGAGAAATGGTCAATTTTGCATGAGTCACTCTTTACGCTATTGTGTCTGTAAAAGAGTCAATTATTATTGGATTTTCATAAAAGTGACACCATTTGATGCATAATGTCAATTGTGACTAGTTCAACTCAATTTAACATTTTCCATGTCACCGGAAATGACGAAATTTGGGTAAAAACTGTATTTATAGCCTTAGAAACAAATAATTTATTGAAATGAGTCGTATTTGTTGTTTGTTTAATATTTTGATATTTGATTCTAATCAACTAATAGAATGAACCCATACGATCATATAGGTATCACAAAATGGTTTCTAACTTGTTCAGTTGTAGAGAAATAGGTAATTTTCAACAGGTCACTTTTCAAGTTTTTTTGTCCATAAAAGTGTCAATTATTATTCGATTTTCATGAAATTTTCACTATGTGATACCTAATGCCATTTACGATTTCATACAAGTAATTTAAGATTTTCATTATCACCGGAAGTAACGTCATTTTGGAAAAAACTGTATTTTTAGCTTTCAAAACAGATATTTTATTCAAATGAGTCTGAGTTGTTATGTTTTTAAAATTATGATATTTGATTCCAATCAACAAATAGAATAAACCCATACGATCATACAGATTCCAGAAAATGGTTTCTAACTTGTATGGTTGCAGAGGAATTGACGGTTTTCTACTAGTCACTTTTTAAGGTTTTTGGTCTATAAAAGTGGCAATTATTATTCGATTTACATAAAATTTTCACCATGTGATGCCTTATGCCATTTCTGATTTCATAAAACTAATTGAATATTGTCATTATTACCGGAAGTACTGTACACTTACATGTAACAAATATATAAAATTAATTGATATTGCTGGATTTGGTTGATTCGGCGTCCATTTTATTTGATGTGTGCAATGATGAGGTGGAAACCTGTTTAATGGTTTCATTGGTACCGGAAGTGACATATGTTTAGGGTAACGTGGCACCGGTGAAACCCGTCATTACTGCATCGCAATTCTAGTTATATATATCTATATATAAGCTCAATTATTATATCAATATAATACAATATTACCCACTATGTGAAGCATTCAAATATATAAAGATAGATTGCCAGGTAATGTAACATATGCCCACAGCAGCTAAGTTGTTCAAGCAGTCAAGAAATAAAAAACTGATCTAGAGTAACAACCCATGAAGTAAGTATCAGAAATAATTAAAATTTGATTGGCTTCTACATCTTCCTTGTGCTAACAGTTATTATACCTGTTATTGCACAGGTAATCAGATGATGACTTTCATGTCAATCGGATGATAACTTTAGCTGCTAGAGCCTCATTGATCATGGACAGAAGCAACAACAATATTATGACCACATTTTGAGAGAGAGAGAGAGAGAGAGAGAAATTGGGTTTAACATCCACTCGACGCAAACTAGGTCATTTCGGGACTAACATATGGTTTAATTTTATTTTAACCGGGGAATTGAAACCACGCCAGTTGACTCATGATACAGTGCGCACATGCTAACCATTCAGCCATCCAATCCCCCGACCACATTTTGATGTGGGTGTATAAAAAATGGTACCTGGCATGGGCATGGCCAGGTTCTAAAGTTAGAGCTAGCACATAAATATGCAAGTGCTTGGTTGGTATTTAGACTCTTATTGCAATTGTAAAAGAGTTTATAAAAAATGGTGTCAGTTTTGAAAAATATGCTCAGGGAGAACGGTCACTGGTGCCTGGTATTTTAATGCAAACAATTTGTTTACAATGGCCATTAATAGCGACAAAAATTATTCATAATGGTTAATTTGAAAGATGCACTTAGATCTACATTAACATGATTCCTCCTGAAAAGAAAGAGCTCAATTTTGACTAGTTGTACTGACTGCCACATTAACCAAAAGGTTAACCATAATACTTGATGACACCCATTCTTTTAGTGTCCAATAGTTCATAATATCTGGTTAGTCGCTGGCTGAATCATAGATAGGCAAAGCCAAAAACATTGAGATCAATATCCAGTTTCAAACTTGAAGTGGGACTTTAGAACAGTTTATTCATTTGCTATTTTGATTATTCAAGCTATTGCACAATGATTTATATATAGTTTTCATTGACACAAAATTATTTTAGTTTATTCATTTGCTATTTTGATTATTCAAGCTATTGGCTATTGCACAATGATTTATATATAGTTTTCACTGACACAAAATTATTTTATAACAATGTTGTATTTTAATATGATAATGTATTGTTTGGCCCTTGTTCGTCCGTTCACACCTACTCACTCTCCAGAATTATGTTTCATCCAATTCTCAGGAATAGTCAGTGTTTGGCTAAAGATGAAGTTTTTCGATATTAACAGTTACCTTGATAGTTTTTTCAGAGTTATTGCTCTGTGTTTTTGTAATCTAGGAAATGTCAAGGAAACAGAACACTAAGTTTGGTGATAATTGGCTGTTTCTGTTTATATCAACATGCCTTAAAAGGCATATGGCTCTATTCTTTGGAACATTAAATTAGACAAAAATGGATGTAAAAGCTCATGTTAATGTAATATGAATGTATATAAAGTGGTTTATATTTAATTTTCAAAAAATAATTTGTAATTTCTAATCAATTATGTTGGGTGAAATATGTGAACTGTCCAAATTGAACAACAGTTGTTTATGCCTGCTTTGTCTATTCTACATGTTATTATATTATTTTATCGTTTGTGAATCAGCCATTACTAATTACTTCCGCACGGTCTTGTAGGATATGTTTTTCTTTGTTCATTACAATGATTATAAAATGTTCATTATGTGTTAAATATTAGATTTTAGGATCACATATTTTCACGGTAAGATAACAACATCAATATTGACTGAAATGGACCATTAATGAATTCTAATTGGTGTTAAATATGTGTTAAATATTGGATATTAGGATCACATATTTTCACAATAAAACAACAACATCAATAACATCAATATTGACTCAAATGGACCATTATTAAATTCTAATTGGTGTTTTTGATTTCGACTATTATGGAAAATATTGAGTTACATGTTTACCTCCTTTAATTGTAGAGCTGGATGTGTTCTGGTGTAATTATTTGTTCTGTGTTATATCTACTCTGTCTTCGATGAAATGCATGAGGATTTTGTGTATTTGTACTATTTAACTGCTCTTTGGTAATGTTTAATGCAACTTTAAGTAATTTAAAAAAACCTACCTGTATCCCACCTGCACAGCACAAAAAGAATAGCACCCATGCTGGTTTGCGGAATGTCTGACACAGCAATGGCTGAAGGAAGAACCATCCACATGTCTCTTCTTGAGATCCAAGATCTTTTTTAATTTTATAACGACGTTCTTCTGTGGAAGAACTTTTGTTGGTTGGTTGGATGATTGCTTGAGTCATGGCCGTATATTCGGCAGGACGAGACTTTAGAATCGTCATGCTGATTTATTTTGGTTAGTTATGGAAGAGATCACAAAGTGTTTGGCAAATTTTAAGCAGTACTAATTTGAGGTAGTTTTAACATTAAATACTGGTGATTGTGGTAACATCTTCATAGCATAAATCCAGTGTTCTGTTGGCATCAGTTTACTCTGAAATGTACAATATTTAAATATACAAGTGTAAAGAAGGCCCCATAAAATCCCTAAATATTGTTGCATCCTAAAGGCCAAGAACCAAATTCTTTCAAAAGAATGGTTTAGGGTCATACTCCATTTCTTAACTTATAAAACTGCAAATCAGAAGTGGTATCACATGTTCCAGAAAGTAAGAGATTGGTTTGGGACCAATACTTCATTCATTTACTTATAAAACTGCAAATGAGAAGTGGTATCATGTGATAACCTTTAAAAGGTCATTTACCTTGGCAATCCTTGTAAATTACGGCAAAATAATTTTCATAATTTGTCTATAGATTGTTAGCAACATTTGCGATCCAAAGGTCGAATTTTGATATTAAATGGTGAATTTCAAGGTACTCAGCTAGCTTAAACAAAATACACTGTTCTAACTTGCTCAGGTGATAATTAGGTGAGAGAGGAATTGGTTATTTAATGAAGAGATGTTTGGTTTGGGGTGTGGATGGGGGTAATTTGACTGACAAACATGATGGGCGTTCATTCGTAATAAATACACAGGATGGTTGTAATCTGTTACTACGGAAACAAAAAGATAAACTTGACAGGAATGAGAATGACCGCACCTTAATAAAAGCTAATTGTTAAGTCAACTTTAAGATACCCTTTTGTTTTTTCTACACTTAAAGACAATATATGTATCATGCAGCCATTGAAACAAGCTGTGTTTTTAGAATAAAACTGAAATAAAATGGATGGGGTTACTATTGAAGGTCAACAAATCTTGTGTCAAACATATGTTATGCTTAACGAAATGAGAAAACTTACAGCAATTGCCTTAGAGTTGCAAATATGAGGTTTGCTGTTCGCCCGTGTTCAAATAACTGAAGGATACCTAAATTGTTCCATTTTAGATCTTAAGATCTTAAGGTATTACATTGAGTCAAGTGGTGTGGTTTCAATCCCATTCTTGTACGTGACAAGGAGTAGGGTTACCTGCCCAACCTTGTGGGTTTTCTACGGGACCTCTGGTTTCCCTTCCATTGCTATTCCCAAAATCACCTAGTTTGTTTGAGTGAATGTTAAACCCCACTTCTATCTCTTTTTCTCACTGTTTTGGTATGGATTAGCTTTCTTTATCTTTGTCACATGTGCATAGTTTGCAGGGCCAATTTCAAAGATTTCAATCCCTAAACTAGATTATTACACTAAAACTCATGTTATAGGTGTGGAATGTAGGTTTTATTCCAAGACATACCAGAACTAGGATTCCAACTCAGTGTTATGGTTTAGCTTGGTACCCAATATTTGACTAGGTTCCTTGCACATATAGAAAGACACATGACTTCCATAATTAATGCCCTGGTAAAAATGTCTACTTCTAACAATTAAATGTATATGAAAAATACCTGAATATGAATAATGATAACCCTAATATCCATCAGGAGTCAAAATGTAATGTCACAGATAATTCTTCTGCCCATACCATTATGACTTTCTACTTTTTACATAAGTAAATCCCTGTTTCAAATTACCTCATGCAATATTTTGTTACCTATGTGAACTTTCCAAAAGAAGTGGTATCTAGTGTTCCAGAAAAAGCAAACAAACTCAACTCCTTTCATGATTATTTAAAGTTAGCATGCAAAAATAAACAAAACAATATCCCTCTTTCTGTCCCTGTACTAATAATTGGGACCAACCATCAAACATATGTTTTACCACACAAATGTTTAAAGTGCCAAGAAAGCACCATTCATATATTCTGTTTCACTACATGTGCAATTTCTAATGCACAGGTATTTTTTGCATGTTAATGAGATATAACATCTGCCTAAAGTATGATATATCAGGCCTAAGGTATGATATATCAGACCAAACGGATATTAAATCAGCGACACACAGCAGACACAGTTGCAAAGATTTATGAATGAATAAACAACATATGCCAACAATCAGACACTTTTTCACCAAACGTCATACATATTATATTCAAGGAAATAAAAAATTTAACACTTGGGTATATAAACAATCCTCATTCCATTTCAAGTGTGGGCGTATTAAGATACAAAAACACACTAAATGCAAAAGAGATATATCAGATACTGATTTCGTAATAGTTAGCTTTGGTGTTCACATACCTTGATTCAAACCTTTTTTAACTGTGCTTAATATTTTGTTGATTCATCATCTGATATAAAGATTAGTCAAAGACCTTACACATCATACCAGTGAACGTTATTTTAGGATGCACTAGGCCATTAATTATAATCTTGATTGTTAAAATTCTTTAAAATTTACCTGAAATATTATAATACCTTTCTGTTCACCTTAAGCAAATGGACATTTCTTACCACAATCTGATACAATGAAATTGCAGCATTTAAAACAGAAATGTCCAGATCCTTGCTTTCCTAAGGTACATAAATGAACAATTGGAAAGCTTTTAAAAGGTGCATAGCATATACCAGTGCAATTGGCTTCCTAAGGTTAATGAAAATATCACAGACACACTTAACTTTCTGTTGATTCAACCAATGCAATTTTTCTCCTCCCAACTCCCATCAAGGCGTTAACCAGTCTACGACATTATTAAGCCATATTTTGCACAACAATTTTAATAAAACATTACAAGTTTTTTCAATACAAGCACAAAGTCAAAATAATCTTAAGTTGTTCAATTCTCACGCCACAAAGAGCACGTATAACAAACAGTTCCATGGACTTCAACAGCCACAAGGACATTTCAAATAAATGTTTATTCCAGAATCCACTCTAACCCAAAGATTGTTGAAAATATTCACACTGAAAATGAACAGACAAAAACAATTAGAGGTGCCTGGTTTTGAATATTCTTTCAATGTTTATTTCAATGTTCCAAGTTTAAGAGTTTCCAATCCAAAATAGCACAAACTGCACATAAAATAACATATCTTGCACAAAAATACTATAAATATTTAATTTTTGAATTTGGTCAAATTGGAAATGTCAACACCATGAATAATTCCATCCAACGACCATATGTACAAGAATGAACTGTGTCTGGTTACCTTTATACTATGTAAATAGAATTACCTTAATTACCTAAATTAAAGTAGCTAAGTCTCTAACTCAATATCATCCAAAATCTTCAACATTGAAAACACAAATTATTTGTCAATTTAAATCAACATTGATGCTGTGATTTTACCGGAAAAAGATGGGCTTCTGATATCCAATATTTAAGACAAAATAAACATTTTACCCTTGGTACACGAATCGTGTATCAAAATCCGTTTCAGCCCCAGTTCTAGCAAGAGACTCGAGGAACGAGGCTAGACATATTGCACCAAACCAAACGGTGTATGTAGACTGGAATAACCAGGCGCTAGAAATTTGCATTCCATTAAGACTGCTGGCTTATTTCATGGAACATTACCGATTTGAAATTAAGAGTAAAAACGGAAACCACTGAATGTATATCAGTTTATATACATTCATATTACAGTATTATGAGTTCCGACCCACTTGTGTCAATTTCTAGGTCCCAAATGTTAGCGATTTAGCTTCTTTAAAGTAAATTCTGAAGTTGTAAATTGTAATCTAAATTAAAGTAAATTGGAAGTTGTTAATTGTCATAGCTATTTCAATTAATCACACTGATGAAAACCTTATCGGAGAAACTACAATTATTAATACAAAAGGAAATAAACTCTCAACATTCAATTTTTTTCCACAGAATTTAACTCTTAAGATTCAAATATTTCAAATTTCCTGGTGCCAAGATTTTGAAGTCGGATTTACTACAGTTGGAATTTCTGCATTAACTCAATGTCCAGATGGACTTTTGTTATTCTGTAGTGGGAGCTTTTACGTTCATCAGTATGAGGGAAAGCGAGAAATGGGTTATTTTGGGACTAAAAAGATATATAATTATTTTTATAATTTGCTGTGCATAGGGGTCAATGAGAGTGGGAGGAAACTGCAGGATACTCCTTGTAACATGCAAGTGAAAGGTTGCAACATTGGAATCGATTACAGACCTTAAGATCTAAAATGTGTTAGAACCCTTGTTCACCTACCCCCCCCCCCCTTCTCCTAATTTGAACATTTTGCTTTCTCCAAGATTTTCTTCTAAATGGAGTTTGATAACCATATGATCGCTGAAATCTGTACTGTCTATTTAGTTAAAAAAATGAAAAAAAAATGCATTCTAGCACCCAATTTATCAAAGTAAACTTTCAGAAAATTTCAAAGCATTAAATTTAATGGCCAAAATCAAGATAATTTCAATTTGAAACAGAAACTTTTAGAGTAATTTCTGAATTAACTTTTAAATTGCTGAAGTAATCAATTTCCGGATGTAGTTTCATTCTGTAATCAAATTACACGGCAGGAAAATACTGATAAAACTTCTGTGGCATACCGTCAACTTTTTTCAACATCAAATCAGAAAAAAAGTTTAACAGGATACATTTTTAAATACCAACAAAAAACCTATCCAATTATCAGCGTCTGCCATATTGTGTAAACTAATCTTATTAAAGGTGCATGTATGTTACCAATTATAATGGAGTTTGATTTACCTCTGATATTCTTAGTTTCCTGATTATCTTTAACCCTTTCAACACCCCAGTCTCCTCCATCAGGAGCTCTAACTTTATTTTAATATTTTCAGTATCAAAATTCAACAATGACCAATCATCTGTTCGGACATTACTGATCCATTAATGGCACATCAATATATTATTAACAATCTGAAAAGCTTATCTATCAGTAATACACCTAGGGCAAGGTGTTCACTTTTAAATGTTAATATCTGGACATTTCTAAATACCCACAATGTATTTGTCCCCCTTCCCCCAATCTCCATTTCTTGTCATGAGTGTCAGCTTTAAAGCCCCTTACCCAAAATCCAATGTGAAAATTAAGTTTATCTCAATCTAAAATCAAATCTAACCTTAAATTGATCACAATTTCTCAATTCATGAGTCCAATCATATTGTAACATATGTTAACATGACCTCGACAAATGCTTCAAATTTTGTAATAAATTTCTTGCTAATTTTCTGAATATTTTCTTGTTAGGCTTTAGTTGTTTGTGAATGGAAAAACAAACACAAAATTGAGGTTGATCTCCTTTAAGGATTTTTTTTCCACAGAATGTCTAACAGTAATTAGATGAAAGTAAAAATGATATGGTATATGGAGTCTCTCTAATTACCACTGAAGCATGTTTGTGGTTATCTGACGTAAAACTGAACACTCTTCAATGAATAAACTGATAGCATTTAAATTGATAAGAAAAATCACAAAATATTACATACTCGAAATGTGTAAGAGAAATACAGATACAGGCATTTCAATTGGGTAGCTCAGTGAATATGATGATGCAGTCTTCTTGATAATAAGAGATACTAAATGGTCATTGCCTAGTTTGGTGACCTTTTTATCTTCAGAACTTGATCCTGAAGGGACACTTTAATGAAATGAAAGGGGTTTGATATCCTACATTTCTACACTAATCAGATAAATTGAAGACGGTCAAGTGCATGGATTTGTCATAACTTTTGGGGGGGACGAACGAACCCTGGAACCCGGAACATTTCATTTCCAACGAAATAAATAATTACGAACAGTTTACTGTACCAGTGTTATTTCAATGAAGGCTGTAACTAGGGGTAATATGATGACAATATGGAAAAACTGACTACCTACATCAAAGCTGCATAAATATTAATTGTTCATGATGTTAAGTGAATCGTCCAAAGACGTTCGTTCTACGGTCAGGACTGTTCTCTTTGAATATCTTGGTGACATGAAGAGGTCATTATGCACCTCACACGCCATCAAGTGGTCCGGTTGGTTTTGCATCATGGAGTTTTGATATGCTGAAGGATCGCTCGGCTGAGCAGGAACTAGCAGGGTTCAGCAGTGTGAGATGAGAAGAGCTTCGACAGAAGGGAACATCTGCCTCAATTCAGGTGACTTAATGAGGAACTGTTCGTGCACAAGTGAAATAGATTTGGCCGAAAACTGGCGCTTGAAGAATGGCAATTCTTGTTCCAAGTCCCGATTCAGTTCTAGATACGTAGAAACAAGCTCACCATCATGTGGATATAAACCTGAAAATCTGTCCTGGCGATCAAAATCATGGGGGGGGGGGGACAGAGACCAATTTGCCCCCCCCCCTAAATCCACGCCCATGAAGACGGTCATAGGCCATGCAGAGTTTTATGAGAAATTTTTTATCTGGACAGCACTGTTATTACCTACTCTTTTATCAAATTCCAAATGTCAATGTTTCTTTTAACTATGCTGAAAAATTGTAGGGAACTTTTGCAGCCAACTTGAGTATAAAACCCAGGACCTCTTGGTTTGTGAGCCAGTGCCTCATTCACTGGCCACCATGATTTCTTCAATTACATAAAGATATCCATTGGAAATGAAATTATGATGCATTTGGAATTTTATAATTGAATACAAAATGAAACATTTTAAAATTATGGTATTACTGGTCTGGCATTAGTAATTTTAATGAAAAGGATGATTTTCCTAGGGGAACTCCAACTTGCAAGAAAAGTTTATCATAAACTTAGTAAATAAAAGTATTAAGGTTATGTCTCAAAGGATATGTCATATATTCTAGAAGCAAAAGCATATTCTTTACCTAAAGTTGCCTACCAAGTAGTAAGTCCACAATAAATTAAACAAGTTAATTATTACAGAGCGTTAACCACTAAGCCAGACATTTCTATCTTCGTAGGGTATATATTCAACATGTTATCAAGTAAAGCTGACACTTCTTTCATCGTCTAGTAAGTGTAATATATATAATCTCAACTATGCTTAAATTTGCAGATAATCAAGAAAGAAATTTCGAAAATTCATGGATTCAGAAAGAATTTTTTTTTTTAAGCAGATTAGAAATGTTTTCATATCCATGGTTATAGATTTAGGATCACAATTGTAGAGGAAAATTATATCCTTCATGTAAGCAACAACTACATAATTTTATACTTCCATCTACAGGTTTTAAAATAATTCAATTTCTGACTTGATATTCTTCTTTCAAATTGTCTTAAAATTATATTACAGGTACACCACATACTTGTGTATATCATAATGTGATTATCAGTGTGATCAGTCTAGCTTTAAGCTCATGTGACAGTCTCTGTCACAAAGACAACATCAATTAACTCCCCTTATAGTGTATAACCTGATTTTACACTTCTTCAGATTATTTATATGTATACCCTAAATTGGTTTAAAAGTTTCAGCCAAAAATTATGCTTTTACTTAAAGACTCACAGATGGAGAATTTGGAATTTTTAATTTAAGATGAAAACTTTCAACAAAGAATCCTTCAAGACATTATCAAATTTCCAAGAATTGAAATACTACTAAAACAATAATGTATTTTTGTACAAAGTTATGCCAAAAGTTGAAATACGATTTGCTTGCACAGGTCTTGTTTAAGTTAACTTCTTGGTTTAAGTTCAAAATTTCTGTGAAAAAATGCAAGAAGACTATAAAAAGTGTAATTTTCTAACAAAGATACTCTGTCACAAGAGCTAAACAATTTCATGATGATAATGCATTCTTGTACAAAGTTACTCTGGGAGTGGAAACCAGATTCCTTTCTGAAGTCATATTTTGACAAAACTTTTTGGTTTAAAAATTCAAAATTTCAGTGAAAACAAACAACAAGACTATCAAAACGGTAATTTTCTAACAAAGTTACTCAGTTAAAAAAGGTTAAACCATTTTAAGGTATCAAATTCAGCAGAATTTAGCTAATTTTCAAAGATGAACATGATTATCCTGGGTCTGTCCTCATTAGATACAATTTGGTATAGATTGCTATGTCTGGAAGAGTTTACTGACAAAACAAAATGGCAGAAGTAAGATTTGTAGATCAACTTACATTTTCTTCTTATCATTCCATTTTATTGGGGGTTTCTTGTAGATTGCAGATTACCTTTTTAAAAATTCTCTTATTAGCACTTATCATTTTGTCTTTTTACAACTAAAGATGGTCAATTAAGAACACAGTATTGTTTGTAGAATTTCAGAAGGCAGAGACATAGGGCTTAAAATTTGTAAAAATACTTATAAAAATATACATTTTGTAATGCCTCTGAAACATTAGTCTATATTCTAGTTAGTTCAGGTATTGGGTTCGTCTGGTAAAGAAAAGGTGGGTGGAGGGGAAGGCGGACAAGGACAGAGTGTGATGGTGGCGGGGAGGCAAAATGACCCCCTCCCCCATTAAGTACACAACTGAACAGACAATCACAGTATATTAACAAATATTATGTTCTAATTGTGACATCGAGTCAAAGTCAAAAAGTAGAAGTTACAACAAAATGTGAGGCGACAGCACGCTATACAAGCCAAAATAAACTATAAAATAGGAAAATAAGAAATAATACACTGCGATAATAGCGCCCCTCGTTTTTTCCTAATTTCTTATTTACGACAAGACGGTACACACGCCAAACTGCAAGTCAAAAATTAGGAAAAAACGAGGGGCGCTATTATCGCAGTGTATTATTTCTTCATTTCCTATTTTCGAGTTTATTTTGGCTTGTATAGCGTGCTGTTGCCTTACATTTTGTCGTAACTTCTACTTTTCTACTTTTCGACTTTCGTGTTTTGAAGGAGCGAAAAGTAGAAATTTTGAACGGTAGTTATAAACTTCCATAGTATACCAATATCTCACTGGCTAAATGCCATTACAATTATCATGCATTAGCTGTCTTCACTTTCTTTCAAAATATTATTACACTGCTTTTTTTCTGAAAAAGAAGTGGTTTTATACTCACATTAAATAACTTTTAATTACATGCGTCTACCAGTAACATTCATGGTCCACCATCCACAACAACCCTTCCCTCCGTCTCTCTCCAATCTGTAACAGAAACAAGCCATTAATTGTTGATGGTCATGATTAAAATGGCATGGTAAAACAAATTAGATGACAAAATAAGATGAATGAATGAAGGTGCATACTGATATCTGAACTGATGAATAATGGTTGCCTCTGTTTCCTGGATGCATTACTCTTTGTCATTATACATGACATATCATGATATATGATATTGTTCATGATTAACAGTGGAACAAATTAATACACTTCAAGGACAGTGGCTATTTAAATTTTTATAAAATACAATTATTTTTAAATCTCTGGACTAGTCCCTCTAAATCTCTTTCATTATTGAATATTTTGTTCAATAATACTTGTTTGAAATGAGACAAGTCTTGCATTACCTAAAACTGACATTTTTCAAAATTTGCTAGGGTCTTCACGATTTTTTTCCTAAGTTCAGCCGTACTGGAACTTGCACTTCTTTTAGCTCTGCCGCCCCCCCTTGTCTGGGCCCCCCACAAGGTTAATCCAGCCCTGTCCCATTAGAAGGATTAGAAATCCTATATACCAAATATTACCCTATTATTTATAAGTATTCGTAATCTGCCTAAATATTACCCTATAAGAAGTATCAGTAATCTACTTAATTACCCTATTATCTATAAGTATTTGTAATCTGCCTAAATATTAAATATTACCCTATAATTATATATTATTAGTAATCTACCTAAATACCAAATTTTACCCTTTTACGAAAGAACTATTAGAAATCCATGTACATACCAAATCTTATCCTATTAGATGAAGTATTAGTAATCCTCCTACATACTGAGGGGGGTTGGATGGCCGAATGGTTAGCATGTGCACGCTGTATGTTGTGTTGTGTTCAATATGGACAAACAGAATAATTCAATAATTTTTTTAAAAGACTTTAGTTTCATGTGTGACATTGATTAAATGATCTTGAGGTACTATGTTTATTTAATTGGATTTCAAATGCTAAATCAAACAAAAGTATCTTTTTCTGGATTACAAGCAACACTAAGTATGTACCTTGCAATCTCGGGTCAGATGATTGACATTTTTCAGAAAACAATTTATCAGGCAATGGCTATTTGGATGACAAGATTCCTCTTTCAAATGAATTCCTGAGAATTAATTTGGTATCTTGCTACAGGGTATTAAGGATTATGACAAATCTTTTCTTGGTGACAAAAGATAGATATATTTTAGTCTATTTTTTATTTCTATAATGTCTCATGAATAGAATAATAGGCTATGTTTTCACTAATCTGATCAAAGGTATTGGAATTAGCATTCATGTAATAGTAAGCAGACAAAATGGATTGATCAATTTGCTGGCGCTGAAATGTGTCATGTGATCCAAATGAGCTCTAAAGATTTTTCACATCTTTTTAATATTATATATCTTGAGCAGAGTTATTTCATATTTTACTTGCAGCCAAACACGGCTCTATTCATTTATCAATACTGAGACCATTTCAAAACGCACATATTTATTGCAGCAGGTACACATGTTTTTTCTTTCCAGATAAATAATATGGTATTCCATAATATACACAACCAGTGAAAGATATTCCTGCCATTCGCTAAAACACTAGCAATGACATTTAACCCTAATTCAAAAAATCACCATAATTTAAAAAACACTAACTGAATTAACATTTACGTCTGCTAAAAACACAGTTTTCCCACAGTTTTCATGTCTGATCTTTGAATTTTATTTATTTTTAAATCCACAATAATTTCAATGAAATTCAACATGTACAGCATTTGTATATATGTACTGTATTATAATAAATGTTAACATTTGCTCTTCAGAAGAAATCTCAAGAAAAGTTTGAGTTTAGATTACTTTTTTTGTGAGATGCTCTTCAAATCATATCTCAGATTTTTTCATTTCTGAAAATAATAAATGTAAAGCAAAAGAAACATAAGCAAGACATTTTCTTAAAGTTCAAATAAGATATATTTGTAAACATGGTCTACATATTAAAGGTCTTTTGATGTAGAAATGAATGAATGCCTTGGAAAAGACTTCTATTGCAGTCCTGTTTTTTCTCAAGGATTAGATAAATATTTATCTGTTATTTATATCTAAGAAGAATTTCCTTCTTAAATGTTGAACTTAAAATACATTTGTTTCCTTTCCTGTACGGCTTTATCAAATATTTTCTAATTTACTCTGATGGGAGACTAAGATGATCTCTTGACAGTTTCTTGTGGCTAACAGCTTTGCATTCTCTTTGATATTTGGATTTAGTGCTCACACTTTACTGCGATTACCAAATGGTTTTCTGTAAACCATTAACCCAGCAGGTTCCTTAAGGGTACTACGAATTGATGGAAGTGACACACAATTGAATCCTGTTGTTGCATATTTTGACAGTTCCGAAAATAGCTAATAGGATGTGATGTGAAAACAGTATCATATACAGTTAAATTGGCACATGTCGTGCTTGTCTCCCTCAACTCTTTTGTTCACTCGCAATGACACCTTTTGAGGGATGGAGAGCATTCATTTCTAGAACTTTCAATCAAGTATTCCTCCTTTTCATTTGTTTTTGATATTCGGGTGAATTTTTTAATAGGTCGGGCTCATGTTTTAGTAATTATGTGTAGGATAAAGCACAAGACTGAGGTTATGCTGGGGAAAGAAAGCCAGGAAGAAAATAACCCGAGAAAAAGAAAAAACCAAAGCCGGTAGGTCGAGGTTTTTCTGTCAAGAGTTTTTTCTGAAGTCTTTTTTCCCCAGCATAACTGAAGTCGAGGACTTTATCTTGCTTATAAACCATCTGTTTACATGAACGCAAGATGAGAATATCCCAGAATTCCCGCAAGAAAAACTTTATATCATGTTTTCTTATGGAAAAAAAACTATCCTGGAAGAATAACCTGTTACAGGTTGAAAGAAAAACTTTGAGAAGAATAACCCCAAATTTCCCTGTATATATCCAAAACCTCCCCCACTTTCAGACTGCAAGTTATTCTGGGCATAGAATATACCCCAAAGATCAAAGAGATTTACTGTTACAGGTTTATAATTGTAGAATAAAGACTTGTTTTAGTATTTTACAAATTAATGAGATATAGTATAACTAACTAACCTGTTACGGTGGCTGATTAAGGACACGCAAAAAAAAAATATCTTGAGCACTCAACTTAGTATCTTGAGTGCTTGAGATACTAAGCCGAGCACTCGAGATAATTAAGTTGAGCGCTAAAGATAATTAAGTCCAGTGCTCGAGATAATTTAGTGGGAAATATTTAGTGGTGGTGGTGGGGGGGGGTGTATCCGATCCGTCACTGCAGCTTTGGATGGACTGTAGAAACAAACAAATGAATATCTCTATTCTGCAAGTTTATCATTAAATAATGCACAAAATTATACATCTTAAAACATCGGTTGAGATGTGTTTGATTGTACTCTCTCGAGTGCTCGACTTAATCATCTCAGTCGCTCAACTTAATTATCTCAAGCGCTCGACAATAGTATCTCAAGAACAACTTAGTATCTTAAGCGCTCGACTTAGTATCTCGAGCGATGGAGATATTATTTTTTTGCATGTCCTAAATCAGCCACCGTAATAATGTAATAATTTAATATTTCCATTATGTAAAAAAAAAATCCTGTCCATATTAAGTGCATAAAGTGGGATATAAAGGTCAGCCACCTCTGTTGCTTCTGAAAGCTTTTAGACTACTTAATTATTTCAAAAGCTTTAACATTTTAAAACATGTATCCACAATAAGTCCTGGCAACTCTAATCGTCCAGAACATAATAGATTTTGTTAAATCAATTTCCAGTGACATGTTCCTGTAGATTTCAGTGAAACATTCTCAGATTTAATCACATAAAAATGAGGGGTAAATTGGGAGAAATCATATTAGCATAACATCAATTTTCCCCTTCAAGTAAATTGATCTTAAAAATAATCCCTATTTAATAACGCATTTAAGACAAGTCACATCCTTATAGGATAATTTTGTGGCATCCATGAAGTGGCCTGAAAATCAATCAATTTGAATAATCCTTTTGGGCATTATCTTGATTTTAAAAGTAGTCTAATAAAACACTGAATGGGTCTGAATGGACAAATTTAATAGGGCTAATTTACAATCTCGTTAAATAAGGTAAATAAATCTGAGGTTTTGAAAGATTAAGTAGAAACTGTTTCATTTACTAATCTCAGTTTCATTATTGGTTTACTGTGTTGACAGCGAAACGCACAAACAGTAGTTTTTCAACACTAGCTGATCTTTTGGCCTATAATTTTCAAGGAAAACAGATTGTCATACCACAAAACAATTCAACATAGAATCCATTTCAACCAACAATAAAATTAAAGAATTGTCTATAGTCTTCTTAAAATAGTAATTTTTCTGATGCAAAGATCAAAAGTCTATTTTCAAATTGAACCCTAGAAACTGAACAACAAACTTGCCATTTTAATTTCAAAAGGTTTGAATAGTATGTCACTTTAAAACAATTCCGTCAACATCAATATTTTAGACACAGTTTCAGTGATCTTCTGATTGACACCTAAATGAAAACACACTCCAAGAAAACCACCATTACTGTGATTGAAATAAGTCAATTGGAAACACAATATTTTAGGGTTGTGACCTTGTGATTTTGTGGATATTCGTGTGGGAGGGAGGAACTAGATAATTAGATAGAAGGCAAATGGAAATGAGTAAATGGTATTTGATTACTAGGAGAAATCATTGATTGGAATTGAAGAATGATAGTGATGGATAATATTATTGGCTACCGGTACATATAACTAAATTTCTTGCTTCAAATTCCTCTACTATTGAACAAAATTTAAAGAAGCTAAACATCTTTTGATTTAGGTAAAGTAAAGAGCATAATGTTTCAGTTTTGCTTTCTGTGACCACACACGGCCAGTCAGTTCTAAACATTGGCTGCATCTAACTCTTACAACAGAACGTTCCAGATTGGACTGAGCAAGAAATAAAGGGTCAATATAATTAGGTTAATATAGAGCCAGTC